CAACAAGGTCTACTTAGGTCCAAATTGCAATAATAAAAGGGTGGCAATAATATATTGTTCCGGCCCGAAATATCCCGATTTTATTGGATTTCCTTTTACTTGTACTACTGGTACTACGAGCTGCACTACCTAGCCTACCGCCACCACCGTCATTTATTATTGAGACCCCCCCTTTCCATAAGCCCGAATCGCAAAACAAGTTCTGGGGGGGGGAGGTTTATTAATGTCACGGTAACATTAGACAGCCACAAACCACCGCAAGCACTGCCGAAAGCACAGCGAAGAATTGTTACCCCAGTGCTGTTGCCCTATGCTGCTGAAAGAGGGCACCCCCCTGAGCCTAATCCTGAACCCCTTTTGCCTGAAGGAGCCAGAGGGGCCGAAAGTCCACTCAATCAAGTCGTAAGTACACTTATCCTGATTTTCATAGCTGCACTTACGACTTGCCATGATGAACCTTCAAGTACTTGGAGGGTCAGGGGAACTTAGTAAGTAGGTTATTAATGGGGATAAGTAGATTGACTTTATGGGTTATAAGGGTATCAACCTACTTACGAAGTCCCCTCAAGTAGTTTGCGCCTCCAACCAGCGGCTCCTCATTCAGGAGAGGATCGAGGCGAATGACCAAACCTGTCTCAGCCGCACGGTTCAGGGTTCGTCACACGTACCTGCCCGCCTGGCCTTTCACGAGTCTTGCTAGTGCGAGGCTTTAACCCTAGCCCCCTGAATAGTTTGGGCAGGGACAAAACAGACTCGAGAAAGAGCTGATGGGTGTTTGCTGGTGTTTGTCAAGGGTCTCATTTCCTAGACTCTCCATCTACCCTCTATATACCCCTAAATACCCACTATTAGGGACCATATACCCTTAATTAAGGGTACAAGGAGGGTCCTGGTTCTTACTCAAAAACTTAAGTGCAGCATCCCCAAGAGTATCGGACAAGAATTTATGCAGCAAACAGTGTCCCAAGTGAAGTGCCAATACAAAGTGAGAAAAAACAAGCCGGAGTGAATTGAGAGCAGATTGTGTTCAGCTGTTCCTTTGGTCCACATGCTCTTACAGCGCAACTCTCCTTGAAACGTGAATCCCCGCAGATTCGTGGGTCAACGAGAAAACACGCAGACGTCCTTGTGATAAGGACCCTCTGTGATTTCCACTTTTATCATGATCCTCAGTAAACATCAGCAGCCTTAGCGTCTCATCGGTACCTGATACTGTAATACTGTTGGACAGTACTGCTCGTCGTCCCCAGTACCATGATGCCATTCGGATGACTTCACGATGCCTGCAATGCCTGGCCAACCCTTGATGCTGCGGCTGCTGTTGTCAGGGTGCTTCTATGGCTGCTGCAATTAATCCCCTGCCCCCACCGTCCCTAGTACTAAATGACCCCCCGCAAAAATGTTACATTATCATTGCCCAAGATATGCCATTTTACACTTTGTGAACTGCGCAGGTTTTGGTCAAAAGCCGTCATGGGAACATTTATTATTAGGGGAGTGGGGAGGTCCCTCATTCTTTGGAGGGGACTACCCTCCTGCCACCGCGGCAAGTATCAACCCTGGGAGTGATCTGGGACTCCGTGCTATGTGATTGTCCCCCTCTGCTTCAGGACACGACTTTGTGACCTTGACCCACACGAGCAAAGGGGAATTCTAGCCCCCTTCTTCATGATCAAAAGATACCCTAAATCCTAAACCCTACATCCTAAGCCCTGAAAGACTGGAAGCCATCGCCGAGGCACAACCCTTCAGCGAGAAGTAGCTGAGACCAGCTGAAATGCCCAGCACGGACGCAACGATCTCTACATCTGACCTGCTGCAAACAGATCAGGGTTTAGGGTTTATAAATAGGAATCAGGCGTTTCCGAGCTCACATCCTGGAGAAAGAAGTCGTGAGGACAGGCAGCTTGCCGTCGGAATGCCGGCTTTGGGTTTCTCCCTCTTTCAACAATTGATGATATCACAAAGTCTGGTATGACAACGTCAGCCTCCCAGATAAGGTACCCAGGATAGCTTCATCCGTCGCTGAGGTGACTAGGACTGCCAGCTTTGTGGCGCTTTACTAGGGAGATTGTCTACAGCAAATTGTGTACGGACCCACGGACAGTACCAGAGTAGAAGAGGAACCAAAAATGTTGTGTCAGCCTTTTGGAAAAAAACGATATTCTTGTGTGATGGTTGCACAGATTCTTTGAGGAACCCGCATGTCTGGAGGAGCCTCCGTTCGACCCGTACCGCAGTTCACCAGTCTAATTGGCGGATCATGGGTTGGGTTCTTGTTAAGTAATGTAGACCATGTAAGAACTGTAGTGCTATGGCTATCTGAACTATCGACCCATGAATCTTCAAGCAGGGAACTGCCCTTGAACCTTCTCTAGTACCCCCTAACACTTCCTCTACCCCGCGCCCTAGCCGCTAGCCGATGTAGTCTACGTGCACGCCACAGGCCACAACTCAGCCACATTACGAAGAACAAAAACTTTAGCAACAATAATCACCACAAGAAATGGGTAGACCTGGAGCTTTCCCCTACCTAGCACAGGAGCTATAGTCTAACCATGTCTAACCTCCTAGTAGCCCCTCTTCATAACCCCTATGACACTCCCCTATATAACCCCCTTTTCAGGAGCTTGGAGTATATAGCTCACATGGATCCCTGAACCTCTCTTGAAATCCACAGGTGCAGCTCAGCCGCTGCAGTTTGAAGGAGACGTGAATTTCGAATCCTTGCCGCTTGGAGTCCAAATCTCGGCATGGGGCGTCCCAAACCTGCTCGCTTTTGTTCGGGCTTAGGGTTTAGGCACAGAATCGGTCCCGTTTCGAGGGCACTAATATGGAGAATTGTCAAAATGATGGGGTCTCTTTCTTGGATAATTGCCCTAGGGGCCGTGTGATCCTCAGGGATCAAAAAAGAGACCATAATCCTGACAACCTACCATGTGTAAAACTATTGTTCTGAAAACACCACTGAACATTGCGGGGGATTTTGACGCATTTCAACAAGCAATGGCGGAATTGAGGCGCAAACACCACCTGAGCAGAATCCTTAAGCGAGGCGGTTGAAAAAAACAGGGTCTCCCAGTGATTGTGTAAGGGAAGGGGTTATAAGCTGATTATGCAGTGTTTAGGGATATAACCCCATGATGCGAAGAATGAAATGCAAAATCTAAAGAGGAAAAACAGACTGACAACTGTGGTTAAGTAGGGCTTATAGTCGCGGAGTCCACTACCTAGAATAGGTGTCCTTTGGGTGCTTCTCAAAAGCCAGGGGTCATGTTATCAATTACCACCAAAAAGCTTGAGAATGCCCCTAAAAAGAGGATGAGGTTTTCTTTACGCCTCGATGCTGTGCACGTCCGGTATGCCGTGGCCAAATGTGAAGTGCTTGAAGTGGAAGCTTTTCCTTAGCGGCTAGCTAGACCCTAAAGCCCGAGACCCTAAACCCTCAACTAGGCCTCCCTTATCTGATCCCCTCTGTCTGATAACAAGTAAAGGCGGAGCGTCCCTGGGGTCCCTTTCTGGAACAACTAGCCCCAAGGTAGTAACACGATGACGTATACAGTATACACTGGAGCAACAGATCTTGTGAGGGGTGGAAAGGGATTCTTCCAGCAGGAGAGTATGGGATCTCTAGGTTCAACATTAAATCTACCGAAAGAGGATTGAAATTCTGCTGTTGTTTTGCTATGCCAACAACTGTTACTGCTACTGCTACTGCACCGCCGCTGCTGCCGCTGCTGCTGCTGCTACTCCTCCTCCTACTACTACCACTACTACTACTACTACCACTACTACTACTACTACTACTACCACTACTACTACGACGACTACTGCTACTGCTCCTGCTCCTGCTCCTGCTACTGCTACTGCTACTGCTACTGCTACTGCTGCTGCTGCTGCTACTACTACTACTACTAGGCGCCCCCCCCCCCCTACCAACTATGTTTGTTTATATGTGCACTTCTAGGGCTGTTCCATGGATGCTACGCTTGTTGGACTTTTCCCTAGCAG